TATTGAGCATCTTGAGATTTTGAAGTCTATGTGGTTTCACACCCAAATAACTAAAAATAGTTCATCCTAATGAAATTCCTGGTGTCGTGGGAAATATTCTATGGAAAACCGGACGGCTCAGCCAGCACTCCTGTTGGTCTGCGCAGACGTCTCTAGTCTCTCAAGCGTGGGACCTGGCTTTGGGGACAGTTTTAGCACAGTCTCACACGACAAACCGTGAGGCATCTACTATAATAACAGAAGCAAGGTGGCGAACGCTGCGTTGTGACTACGACAGAAAGTGGTTTTGTAAAACAAATTATTTAAAAAAATGCATTGTTTCTCCTCATTCTCTCAGGGTTATACCAAAATCAAAGTTTTCTAGCCTCTTTAATTTCAAAACTGTCTGCTGAAACGTGTCCTTCGCGACAGTCACCAGCAAGTCCTGACCCCACTCAGTCCCTTTCTGGCAGTGGTCTGATGTCCCTTTGCAGAGTTTTGCCTCCATCAGGAAACCGCTTTAAATTTAAAACTTAAAAACCACAAACCACAAAGGTGCACGCAGAAGTCGAAGTCTCGTACGGGAGTCAGCGTCTGCAGCGCATCCTTCGCAGAAGTCTCGGGCGGGAGGGAGCTCCTCCTCAGGAGCTGCCCGGCGCTTCCCGCGCCTGCCCGCGGCTTCCCGGCTCCGCGCGGCTCGGGGCGCCCGGGGCTCGGTCCCGCGAACGGGAAGCTCCGCAGAAAGCGCCGACACTGCCACCTACTGGTCTGGAGCGGGTGGCGTCGAGCGCGGGGCGCTCGCCGAGGGAGCCGGGAACTGAGTCCCAGCGGGCTACTGAGCACGCCACGATCTAGCCACCCTCTCCCTGCCCCGGCCTCTGCCCGCACCGAGCGGTCACCCGTCCCCGTCTCGGCGCAGCCAGGCCCCCCGCGGTGGCGAGAGGATTCTGGGGCCCTACTGACACGGATGGAGAAGGGCGGTCCCAAATTAGAGGCGGTTCCTGGGGTCAGGCCATCGGGACTGACTGTGCTGCCCTTCTTTTCCTTTCCCTTCCTGAACGAGGGGCAATGCTGTCCCTTCCTAGGAGTGGATCCGAGCCCGCCAAATCCTAGCAGCTCAGAAGCGGCGACCCCGGCGGCTGGCGCCCGTGTGCCTGGGCAGGTACCCCCCGGGGAGAAAGTTTGCGCGCAGGTGACCTGGGAGTTCCCAGCGCTCTGCAAGAGGGAAGCTAAATCTAGGACGGAGCGATCGCCAGCCATCAGCTGGTCACCGGGGAACCGGGCACCAGTCCTGGCTGTAGGAGGGACCGAGACCAAAGTGCGCGCAATCGGGAAAGGAGGCTTACGTCTGGGGCAGGCAGGGCTGCTGCGCGGTCCTTCCAGCTGCGGGGCGCCCGCGTGGCTGGCGCGAAGAGGAAGCCGGGGCTCCCCGGGGGACAGGCTCCGACCGCCCCATCTGCAGCCTGTCCCCGCGCCAGCGCGCAGCCAAGTCCGCTAGGTGCGTGGAGCGCGGCGTGCGGGGAACCGGCTCTGCAGGAGAGGTAGCATCGCCCCTGGCAAGGACAGCTGGGTCTCCGGACGGAGCCCAATCGAACGCTGAAGGAAACCCTGCCCATGACCCTGAGAGGGTGCTGGGTGCTGGGCAATTCCGGTGCCCCTGGGGACGGGCTGCGACGCGCTGAACTCCAGACTGAGCAGCCGGAGCTCACCGACGGCGTGAAGAGAGGTGGCACCGGGCGGAGGAGGGGACGCGGCGGGAGGGGCTGACCCTGATTCCGCGGGACTGAGAGGCCATCCCACCTGCCTGCGGGCGGAGCGCGAATCCGGGATCTTACCCGCGCTGGGGCCCCGCCTCGGCGGTCGCGCTCTTCCGGAGCCAGGGCAGGGCACTGGTCCGCGGAGGACATGCCTCGCCTGCTCCTCTGTCCACTCTTATCGTGGTCGCTTTTCTGTCCTCTGCGTGTCCCCCAGAGAAGCGTACGTATGGATGCCTGTCTCCTCACTCAGGAAGAGACAAGTTGAACTTCCAGGGCCAGGGGCCCCACATTTTGTCTGCTCTACAGAGCCCACCCGCGGACCACTCCCTCCCTTCACAGCCGTCTCTGGGTCCCACCCATAATAACCCTTGATGACAGATCCTCCAGGTCCCCACCTCTTTGCTCTCAAAGAACTTACTCTTCAGGGGCAGATGAAAAGCCAAGGGTCTGCTGGTCTCCCTCAAAAACTTACACTCCGGGACAGCAGCAACTGGAGACGAGATTAAGTCTGGGTTGTGGAAGAGAGAGTGCTCTTGGGGTTAAAAGAGTCACATTTCTTCAAATTCGGCATGTCACATCCTACACCGTTTTCTTCTAGCCAGCATTGCCAATCAAAAATCAAAATTAACTGCAGGCACTGGCAATTAAAGGCCGAGTTTATCTCAAAACAGATTTAATGTTAATAAGGTGAGCATTATTTGCTTAAGGGAAGTGGAAACTTCCTTCTGCTGCATGTGTCGTGAAGAAACTGCTTTTGGAAGGCTGCCTGGGTCTTTGCTGAGGCTGCAGGGACAGACGAACCCCAGCGTGTTCCATAAACCTAGTTCCCCATCCCTGCCAAGAGCACACACAGGCTGAACCCCAGGAGCAGCAAATCCCTGCCTTTCTGTCACTCACAAGCAGCCACTTTCCCTAAGGCAGAGTCAAGGAGAGTCCTGGAGGTATTCGTCAAGGCAAAAATTCCTTTACCATTTGAAGCTCAAGAAAATTAAAATGATTTCATTGAGTTTTTGTTAGAAATGATTTGCACTCAATTTCAGTCAAGATTATAATGAAAATTTCAAAAATTACTCATAAGATGATTGAAACAACCTATCCCCATCATTTAGAGAAGGCCGCATATCGGCAACAAAATAGTGTCAGGCACCTGTTCCTTGGATATTATTGCTGGTAAAAAAAATATATATATGTATTTGCAAAACTGGAGGAAAATCAGCATTTTGCTTCTAAGATTAGACACAAATATGTACAGTAAAATGGTTGGAACACCGATTTCATGTTATTCTAACATCAGACCCAGAATCCTGCTTCTGACCAGCTTGTCATAATTCGCAGAAATTAAGCTCATATTGTATTGGCTGGGTTGTACTAAGCACTTTACATGCATTCTTTTAGTTTTACCAACCACTTTCATCTCTGTTTTAGAGATGAGAAAGTAGCCTAAGGTTATAGGAGGAGCTGAGCTGGGATTCCCGGGAGGCGGTGTGATTTCAGGACTCTGTTCTTACTGAGACACTATCTCATCATGTACCATCACCACAATGTCAGCCTGGAAATCAAGAGCCTAGGAGAGTCATCTGCTGGCTCCACCATGAGCAAACCATGCAGTCTTTCTGGACTACAGTTAGTTCGGTCCATAAAATGAGGGGTAAATACAATTGCCCAGGTTTCCACAGGCATTCTGAAGCCAAGTGTGAGTTTCTGTTTCATCGCTTTTCTCTTCCACGTTCTGCCCTCTGGTGGAGGCGCTACAGAAACTATCAAGTTAAAGTAGCTAAATTCATGGGTTGGAGACAGTCAGGATGGATAGATAAATCTCCCTCCCTCTTCACTACCCACACTG